GCTCTGTGCAGACCAGCTCCATCCCCACTGAGCTCTGTGCAGACCAGCAGAGGGTGCAGGGGTAATGTTGCTGAGGGGAGGGGTGAGTGGGGTTTGGGGGGTGGTGAAGGGATAATACTGCTGAGGTGGGGTGTGGGGAGGTGGGGGGACACGGAGGTAATGCTGCTGGGAGTGGCGGGGGATAGATGTTGCCCTCACTGACCTCTGACCTTGCCTGCAGGAGACTGAGTGACAGTCCAGCTGTGAAGAAGCCTGAGTTTCCCAGGGCCAAACCGCGACCGTCCAATCAACCGGCTGCAGAGGTTGACCCAGAGACCGTCCTGAAGGCGCTTTTTAAATCCTCAGGGCCCTCGACGTCAGCCCAGCCGACCGCTTTCAAGATCAAGCTGTGAGCTGCTCCACTGGTGACCACATTCAGCACACGACTACAGCTCTGGGTCTCTCACTACCCAGTCCATCCTCTTGCTTCTAGAGGTTCAGTTTTAAAAAAAAAAAAAAATTTCCAGCTCCTTTCTGTTTTGTCCCTTCTCGGATGATGCTTCTGAAACTGGCAATTCACAGTGGGTGCAAATGTGTGTGATTTCCCCCTGCCCTGGATATCCTGGTCTCACTATAGATCAGCTGACAGCCCCTTTGCTCAGTCTGAAGAGTGCACTTCTCAACTGCTGGGCACATTGTTATTGTGGACTGAGCTGTCACTGATATGTTACTTTCATCACCCCTATTCTGTCACTGATTCATATGGTGGAGGGTGAGAGTGACAGACAGGCAGGAATTATAAGCTTCTTCCCTCACCCCACTCTCACCCTCCCTTGAACCCCACAAGTAACGGACAGGTGGCAAGGTGGCAGGGGTGTTGGGGGGGGAAGCAATCAGAATTTGGAGATTGTATAACTGCCTGGGTAAATCTGTCAGTGTGTCTCAGCTGTTTACCTTCAACGTTCCTCATACTTTCCCCAAACTGCCTTAAATCACAATGATCAAGTGAAGATGGGGAATGTTGGATATGCACAACAGATCCTTCGGCATTCCCTGTTTTAAGTTCCCAACAGAGCTGCAGTATATTCCTGACGTTCCCTCTATGTGCTTCTGGCTGTGTTAAGTGTTTACGGATGGCCCGAGATGGTGAGGAGCTGCCGTTTCAGTTGCTGGATTGTTGGATCAGTATAAATGACCACTTCCAGGACCAGGGTCCTGGCAATGCTGCAAGAGTTTGACTCGATGCCTCAATTCATTGCATGGCTGCTGGCTGATGCTATGTATCAGGTTCAGCATGTCAAATTACTGCAAAATGGTCATGGTCTTGAAAATCCCTTGTGCAAGCTCCCACTTACTAGTCTTCAGGCACAAACAGCAGGTTCAGAGTTACAACGGAGTTTCGACTCTGTGAGTTTTCTTTATGCCCTCCGCTAAGGCAGTGGGCTGTTCCACAAGATTCTGCACCCACCCCTCCATCAAGAGGGTACAATGGGCTTTTTGACCCCTCCCCCCCACCTCAAGTGATTGCAATGGTCTCTTCCCTCCCCCTCCCCTGAATAGAGACTGCAGTGTGCAGAACTGCAGATGCTGAAGATCTGAAACAAAAACAGAAATGCTGAAGAAACTGGCAGCATCTGTGAAGAAAGAAACAGAGTTAATGTTTCCAGTCAGTTCTGAAGAAGAGTCACTGGATTTGAAACGTTAACTCTTGTTTCTGTCTCCAGAGGTGCTGCCAGTCCTCCAGAGTTTCTCCAGCACTTTCTGTTTTTGTTGCTGTTCCATCCTCACTCGTTGCCCCCAAACTGAATGTAATGGCCTCTTCCACCTCTTCGCTCCCAAGTGGATGCAATGGAGTGTTCCACTGCAGAGGGTAATTCCAACTAATGTTTCTCTGCCTGAACCCATGTTGCACAGGGCCGTGAGTATCAGTAGGGAGCAGGGAGGCTAAGTAGGGTCTGTTTGTTTAGTTTTAGTTTGTGCCTGCCTGTTTGGATTCACCATGAGGTACAGAACTGGGTGAGAAATGGACACAGCTGCCCAGAAGTGAGCTTGGAGAATAGACCAGGTCCAGCAAGAGATTAAGCTGAAAGTATTGCGTCATTGTAGGAAACATATTCTTCAGCCTGTCTTTGAACGAGTGAGTGATGGAATTTTAGTGCCTGGGGAGTGCCTTACATCTCCAGGAGGAAAGGCCAAAGAATGGGATTATTCCGGATGCATGGATATTTCAAAGAAACTACTGTACTTCAGAGACAGGGTCTTACAACCAATGGCTTCTTCTACATAGATTGTAAATAAACTGAGTGATAGGTCTGTCTACCTGGGAATGAGTTATCCATTTGGGTGGACCATTGCATCTTTTTGTGTCTGAATTGGTCAGTAGATCACTCTTGGCAGGTGGCTTTGTGTCTGAATGGGATATTGAATCAATCCCTCCGGCTGAAATCACCCCATGTCTTGGTGGACAGGTGAGTATATCAACTACAGCTGGATAGAAGAATGAGTAGGTCCCTGTTGCCCAGATAGGACAGAGTAGATCCCTGTTGTCTGGGTAGGGGAATGAGTAGATCCTTCTAGTTAGATAATAAGTAGAACAATTTTTCGTCTGGATGGGAAAATGAGTAGATCCATCTTTCTGGATAGGTGAGTGAGTAGATCCTCTGTATAGGATAATGAGTCAAACCCATTTTGGTCTGTAAGAGGAGATTGAGTTGATCCCTTTGTCAGGCATGGAGCTGGAAAGTTGTGGGGAAGGCAAAATATTCAGGAGTGCTCTTGGAGAACCTGTTTGACTGTGTAGTGACCTGGAAAGGATGTTGCCTTATAATATGATTGGTAGCAGGGTATTACAAGAGTGATACTCAGATAATGTCTGGTAGCTAGTAGAGCCAGATACACAATGATTCATTGTGCAACATTCTTCCAATTGATGAGTGATTTCAATCAAAAGATTAACCTGTCATCTAATGTTCACTTTGGTTTGAAAGATTAGATTGAGAGGGAGATGTGTGATACCAAACTCCTTCCCATTAATGTCAATAACAGCTGACTGTCGGTTGTTGCTGCTGGGAATAGACTGGCCCAAGAGAACAGGATTGTAACTCATCACAGATATGGCCTGCTTTGTCCATTGTCAGCCTTGCCCTGGTGGGCAGCCTTTGAGTCAGGACATGATTTGTTCAAGCCCCACCCCCCGAGATATGAGTGTAAAGTTTAGATTGACCATTTCAAGGCAATCCTGTGGTAGTGCAGCACTGCCCAACAAAATATTACACTGCAGTCCCGTCTGCTCACCGGTCATTGTGCAAGATCCCATGATACTATTTCCAGCAGATGAGTTCTCCCTCATACCCTCTTGTTGCTGCTTGAGGAAGTTTGCCCTGTTCAAAGGGCAGCCAGCCACGTTTCCTACTTCACTGCTGTGAGCACGCTTCAGTAAGTACTTCATTAGCTTTGAGACTCTTCCTGGGTTGCTGAAAGGTGCTATCAAAATGCAGATTCCTCCTTTCTGACCTGTTTGGGTTAGCGCAGTGAATGATTTGCACAATTGTATGTTCACATCTGTCATTGAACCAGTGTTCAACAATGATCCCACTCTGACTATGACTGGGGTTGTGGGGAAACTCCCAGAGCTGTAACTGTTGACTCATTGCATTTGAGGGATGAAATTAGTTTTAAATAAATTTATTTTTAACAAAAGAAACCTCCAAGAGTAGCTGGTTTGCTGTAGCTACACACCAAACCCATAGGTGGGAAGCAATAAGGGTAACACCTTGAAATTGTGACCCAGATATCAGTGGAAGTGTCAACTGAGCTGATTCTTGTTAAATCTATGCTGCTGCTGTCCTGAACTACCGACAGACACCTGAGCCACGCAGGCAGACTGTTTTTAGCCTAAATGAAGGTGCATTGGTTCTGAATGTGAATTGAGCCAGGAGTAGTCTTAGAAGTGTAGTCATGGGCTGACTTGCTTTCTGAGAAGGTTTCGGATGCAGTCCAACACAGACTGAATGCACAGAGCCTGGTGAATGCACAGAGCCTGGTGAATGCCCAGGGCACATACAGGAAGTGGCCATGCGAACTGACCCACATCAGCTGTCTTGTGGAGCCATGTCATGCCTGGAAGGTGACCATTTTGAGCAGGAATTTTCTGCATTGGAGTTTGACCATTTTAAACCACATGCTTTCTGCACCAAACCTAAATGGTGTCTGAAAGCACAGTTTGTGTAAATAGATTTATCTTCTACAATGTATTCTGTTCCTCATTTACAATTCAGCCTAAATAGACATTATACATAAAAATAACTAATCGACTCTGTCTTTCTCTTAAAGATGAAACAATTGTACAGTAAGTGAGGATGGCGTCACCATAGAATCTTATAACATACTTCATGTCCAGAATGAATTCAGCTCCTCACTGTAACTGCAGCAACTCCCCAATACAAACATTACAATATAATATCTAGGACATTATCAGCTTAATCTCTTTGATTTATAATCTGTCCCTCCTCATCTTTCTTTAATTACCACAAACTCCACCTCCCCTCGACCTTCGGTGAAAGGAAAGGATTTCATTCATCCGCATGCCTGCCCAGCTACTGATATTTGGGGTATCTCCCCTCAAACACAAGTCACCATCTAATCCAATCTTGTCCTCCCATGGTGCCAGTTAATCCAGACTTGGGGAGACCAGCTACAGCCCCCACCCTTAGCTGTCCAATAATGGTTCGACTGGTTGTAGATTCAACCATGGCCCGAGCAGAAACGGTAACGCTGCCGTGCAGTGCCGAGGGAGCTCTGCGATATGATGTTGAAGTCTGAGCTACATCTGCCCTCTCGGGTGGACTGAGCAGGAGAATGCCTCCTGGTGTCCTGGCAAACATTTAACCTTCAGCCAATATCTCAAAAATACATCTGTTCATTGTCGCATTGCTACTTGTGGGGACCTTACTTTGTGAAAACTGCCTGCCATGTTTCCCACAGCAAAACAGTGACTTGGTTAAAAAAAACTAATGCAAAGTGCAATGGAATGTTGTGTGAAGGGTGCAATATGTTTCTGTGGTTATGCTGTTTTAAAAGTTATGATTGAATCTGGTTGCACTGCCTTTACATGCAGCATGTTCCAGGTTGTAACTATCCATGGAGCAAAACAAATTCATCTCATCATATGCCTTAATTCATTATCTTCAATCTGTGTTGTCTGGTTACCAACCATCACTGGATAACACAGTTTCTCCATATTTACTCTCTCAAACTCCCTCATGATTTTGTTTTTTGAATACTTTCTTTTGAGGGAAGTTGTGGGCCATGGCTTTGATCTTTTCTTAAAAATAAACTTCTTAATGGGATGTGGGCATCAGTCGCTCGTCCAACTTTTATTGCCCTTGAGAAGGTGCTGATGGCCCGCCTTATTGAACTGCTGCAGTCCTTGAGTGTAGGTAGACCCTCCATTGTTCGAGGGGAGTTCCAGGATTTTGACCCAGCAACAATGCAGGAATGATAATAAAATTCTATCCCAGTCTAATACAATTGATTGTTCCTCTCTACATGCTGAGGCAGCATGAATAGAGCTGTAAAAGGTCTCAACTTCCATTTCCACGCTAATGTGACCATCTGTAACGCATCGAAATCCTTATGTACAATATGTACTTATAGCTGCTGCACTTATTTCTCATGCTCTGTTGGTGACTCTCTGTTTTACACGTGCCACAGGAAAGCAGCTGGTAATTCAGTAAAATTCCTCATCTTTCTGAGAGGCCTATGAATTTCTTCTCCACTGTTGAATACCTAACTCCACATCCAAATCTCAGAGCCACAAATACTTAGGATTTGTGCATCCTGATACAAATGAAATCCTGTCTCCCCCTGACTGAACTGGGAAATGAAAGCTTAGACATAGCCATGAACATAGTTTGATTAGTCATAGAATCCATACATTACAGAGAGAGACTATTTGGCCCATCAAGTCTGCAACAACCCTTTGAAGAGCATCTCACCCAGATATAACAAAGTTATGGTAAAGGACAAACATAAAGTAAAAGTACACCAACCGTCTGATCCCACTTGCTTATCTTTATTTTTTAAAAAAAGCAGCTGCAGTATAAAGCTAATTTTAAACCATTTGAAGAATCTAAAAAAGTTTTAAAACCTACTTTAATTTTGAAGGTTTTACCTCCACTTTTTATTTTAATGCTTTATTAGGGTTTATCATTCTTTAAATTTATTTCAGATTTTGTGTGCTCTCCTGGATTTAAACAAACGTGCCCAAGTTTTAAATAGGGAATAGGTCCACGTTAATAAGCTAAGTAAAAGTGATTGGATGCAGTTACTTGAAAATAAATCTCTGTTAGATACTGAGAAGAATTCATGGAAGAAGTAATGAATCTGTAGAATTCTTTACAGCAGAAGGCTGGGTCATATCAGTATATTTAAGACTGAGATAGATTTTAATCAGTAAGAGAATCAAGGGTTATGGGTAAAAGGCAGGAAAGTGAAGTTAAGGATTATCAATCAGCCGTGATCTCATTGAATGGTGGAGAAGACTCAATGGGCTGAATCTGAAGCTGGAAAAGCGCAGCAGGTCAGTCAACATTTCAGGTGGAAACGTGACTTTCCTGCTGTCTGATGCTGTCTGACCTGTTGTGCTTCTTCAGCCTCTCACCTATAGACTCTGGCTTCCAGCATCTGCAGTTCTTATTGTCTCCAAGTCAATGTGCTGAATGGCCTATTTCTGCTCCTATGTCTTGTGAGGGGGCGAGGGGATGTTGCTGATATTATTGTTAAGGAGGAGTGTGAAGAAGTGGATGGGATAAACATAGTGAGAAATAGCAAGGGATTGAGAATCTTTGAAAGTGTATGTATAACCTGGCCAAAATGAAATCTAGTCGAGGCTGGTAATCAAGGGATAAGTGGAATCTGAGTAGTTTTTTTCAATCCTATCGCAGCTGGAAGAACAGCAAACACAGGAGCAGGAGTTTCTTGAGTCTATTCCACCATTCTGCATCAACACTATATTCCTGCACGATCCCTATATCCTTTGATGTCATTAGTAACTAGGCAGCTATTAATTTCTGTGTTGAACTTGCTCAGTGACTGAGCTTGCACAGCCCTCTAGGGTAAAGAATTCCAAAGATTCACCACCGACATTGTACCATTGTTTTAAAAGGAGCAAGCAATGGACCATATAACTAAAGGCTGATCAACCTATGGTGAGCTAATTACTGAGAGAATTGGTTGGATACTGTAAATAATCGTTCGGAAGGCACAGTATAATCAAGGACAGTCAGCATAGGATTGTTATGGGAAAGTTATGTCTCACCTTAATTCATTCATGTGAGCATCGTTGGCTTTTATCGGCAGTCGCCCTTGAGAAGGTGGCGGTGACCATTGAATCTTTTGAGGAAGTGTCAAGGAGAGTTGATGAGGCTAATGTAGTTTAACTGATCCATCTATAGGGAGAAGCTGATTAGCCTGGGGTTATATTCCCTGGCACATCAGAGGCTGAGGGGCGACGCTATAGAGGTTTATAAAATCATGAGGGGAATGGATAGGATAAATAGACATGGTCTTTTCCCTGGGCCGGGGGAGTTCACAACTAGAGGACATATATTTAAGATGAGAGGAGAAAGATTTAAAAGGGACCTAAGGGGCAACTTTTTCACGCAGAGGTTGGTGCATGTATGGAATGAGCTGCCAGAGGAAGTAGTGGATGCTGGGACAATTACAACATTTAAGAGGCATCTGGATGGGTACATGAATAGGAAAGGTTTAGAGGGATATGGGCCAATTGCTGGCAAATGGGACTAAATTAATTTAGGATATTGGTCAGCATTGAAGAGTTGTTTCTGTGTTGTACATCACTATGACTGTATCTACCTGGGGTTTAGTAAAGCTTTTGATAGGATCTCACACAAAAGACTAGTCAGATAGGTAAGAGTTAGTAGGAACTGCAGATGATGGAGAATCTGAGATAACAAGGTGTAGAGCTGGATGAACACAGCAGGCCAAGCAGCATCAGAGGAGCAGGAAGGCTGAAGTTTCAGACCTAGACCCTTCTTCAGAAGTGGGGGAGGGGAAGGGGGTTCTGAAATAAATAGGGAGAGAGGGGGAGGCGGATAGAAGATGGACAGTGGAGAAGATAGGTGGAGAGGAAACAGACAGGTCAAAGAGGCGGGGATGGAGCCAGTAAAGGTGAGTGTAGGTGGGGAGTTAGGGAGGACGGACAGGTCAAGGGGGCGGGATGAGGTCAATAGGTAGGAGATGGGGGTAGGGCCTGAGGTGGGAGGAAGGACAGGTTAGGGAGGCAGGGACGAGCTGGGCTGGTTTTGGGATGCGGTAGGGGGAGGGGAGATTTTGAAGCTTGTGAAGTCTACATTGATACCATTGGGCTGCAGGGTTCCCAAGCGGAATATGAGTTGCTGTTCCTGCAACCTTCAGATGGCATCGTTGTGGCACTGCAGGAGGCCCAGGATGGACATGTCGTCTGAGGAATGGGAGGGGGAGTTGAAATGGTTCACGACTGGGAGGTGCAGTTGTTTAGTGCGAACCGAGTGTAGGTGTTCTGCAAAGTGGTCCCCAAGCCTCCACTTGGTTTCCCCGATGTAGAGGAGGCCACAACGGGAATAGCGGATGCAGTATAACACATTAGCAGATGTGCAGGTGAATATCTGCTTGATGTGGAAAGTCTTCTTGGAGCCTGGGATGGGGGTGAGGGGAGAGGTGTAGGGGCAGGTGTAGCACTTCCTGCGGTTGCAGGGAAAAGTGCCGGGTATGGTGGGGCTGGAGGGGAGTGTGGAGCGGACAAGGGAGTCATGGAGAGAGTGGTCCCTCCGGAAAGCAGATAAGGGTGGGGAGGGAAAAATGTCTTTGGTGGTGGGGTCGGATTGCAGATGGCGGAAGTGTCGGAGGATGATGCGTTGGATCCGGAGGTTGGTGGGGTGGTACGTGAGGACGAGGGGGATTCTTTTTTGGTTCTTATTGCGTGGACGGGGTGTGAGGGATGAGTTGCGGGAGATGTGGGAGACACAGTTGAGGGCATTCTCGACCACTGTTGGGGGGAAGTTGCGATCCTTGAAAAACGAGGACATCTGAGATGTACGGGAGTGGAATGCCTCATCCTGGGAGCAGAGGTGGCAGAGGTGAAGGAATTGGGAATAGGGGATGGCATTTTTGCAGGAAGGTGGGTGGGAGGAGGTGTATTCTAGGTAGCTGTGGGAGTCGGTGGGCTTGAAATGGATATTGGTTTCTAGGTGGTTGGCAGAGAAGGAGACAGAGAGGTCCAGGAAGGAGAGAGATGTATTAGAGAT